ATGGCTACGCGAGGATACCTCCACGTACTGGGTATCTGGAAAGGCAGGAGCAGGCAAGTCAACACTGATGGCGCATGTTGTCAATGACGGCGCACACGCAAAGAACTGGATATATGGAGAGATGGTCATCAGCTGGAGATTCTATCATTCTTCTTCTGGCGCGCCGGGTCGAAGATACAGAACAGCGTCACAGGACTGTTACGCAGCTTGCTGCATCAGCTGTGTCGACGACAAGACTCAATGGCGGACAGAGTGGTAGCATCATTGTTGTCATCCACCGGGACGGCAGCTACTGGTGCACCAACGAGGTTGTTATTACCCACTTGGACTGAGAGACGGCTGATTGATTGCATTCTTGAGGCCATCCGATCTGGCTCAAGCCTTCGATTCTGCATTTTCATCGACGGGCTAGACGAGTTCACGGGCGCTTACGACGACTTACTGACTCTCATCACACAACTCCAAGAATTTAGTCATGTTAAGATCTGTGTCTCTAGCCGGCCCGAAGTGGATTGTGTCAAAAGCTTTGGGAAACTCAAAATGCTCCGACTCCAAGACCTCAACGCCGACGATATTTACTTATTCGTGGGCCAATCTCTTGAGAAATCCAACTTGACCAAAAACTATCGTGAAGAGCTAGGGTACAAAGTTGCTCTTCGATCTGACGGAGTATTCTTGTGGGCGTCATTGGTGACCCAGACCCTGTTGAAAGAGGCCAGAGCTGGCGACACGATAGAAGTCTTGAACCAGCGACTTGACTCAATCCCCCGCGACATGGATCAACTCTTCGAACATATGCTTTCCAACATTGATCCCGTATATCGTCAGACATTACCACTCTATATGGACCTGATGAAGCTTGATACCGAGGAAAGTGACTATGAAGTCACACAGGTATTTAATGTCCCAGTCATCACACTAATACGGATGGATGCAAATATCAGCATCGAGTCATATGAACAATTTGCAGAGGAGTGTGAACGAACAGAGACTCAAGTAGTGGTACAGAGTGCAGGGCTGCTTGAAATCATCGACCAACCTCTCTACAGGGTCGGCCGGGACATCTGGAAAAGTGCCATCATCAGATCAGTTGTCAAGCCACCGCACTTCGCACGCGGACTGCAGAAGCCCAACCGTGCGATATGCGAAGCAAGCGAGCCTTATCCTACGATACTTGACTACGAACACCGGTTTCTGAAATGGATACATCGATCAGCATACGATTTTGTCTGTAATCGACAACACACAACTCCGTTCCTCCAACCCAGTATACCCCGCCATGACCTGGTGCAGAAAATCGGGAACGGCTTTCTGGATTATCTGACGAATGCCCCCTCATGTCTTCTTCGCGTTGATACCTCACATCCTACTAGCGACCGCCAGTCGCTGTCGACCGACTCGCGGCTTTCTGTGTTTGTTGGGGTTGCGGCGCATTTCTACGCTGCATATCCTACAATTGCTGTTGGTTTTCTTGATCGATTGTATGACATATCTACTCAATGGGGCGTGGATGAAGTCACTGACGAGACGATACTGGAGAGACCGCCGAGACAGGCGAGCCGGGACATTCTCTGTCGAAATTGGGCACCCTCTTTCTGGCTCCGTTTGGACTACAAATTGAGCCCTTATATATATTCCCGAAAAGACCGCCTTACGGAACAGCCTAATTTCGATCGAATTGTTGCTGCTTGCTGCAGACGTGCCGCTCTACCCCTGCTGAATGCTCCAGGAAATGCTATATTCCAAATCTGGCTGCAGCATACGGCAAAGCAACTCGATATTGTCGACAAAAATATCGCACAGGTCTCTAAGTATGATTTCTTGGAAACGAAAGAAAGGGACCTCCTACTCAAGAGGGATTTCCATTTCATACATTCGATTCTGTTCGAGTGTGCTATTTGGAAGAGCGCAGATCTCAAATCCGGGAAGCCTCTCCCCGACTTAGCTGTTTTAATAGTACTCGCCCTGGTCCACTCTACCATAATCTGGGATGGCACGAGTGAATATAACACGGGGCTGGCCCTAACTCCATTGCTGCACTTAGTCAAAATGCTGGATCTACATGTCGCGCCTTTGGGACTTCCAATGTCGAGGCGCTTCCGCCTCTTCATATCCGCAGAAGCGATTTTAGCAGCTAGGAGCGATATTGCAGAAGGCATTCGGGGCAATGGCGACCCTTGTTCAATTGGTAACATTGGAAGATATATTTCTGCCACCCAATATCCCGAGGCTTTCCGGGTGTTGTGTATGCCACCGGTCAACCCTTCGGCTTGGGGGCCCAGGCGCTCATTCCAATTCCGCAACAAACCGTCTATTCCATGGTGCCCCTCAGAACCCGTCTCTTTCCGACCCTGCGGGCCGACATCTGATTGTCTTCTAGGGCTCGTTGGATGGCGCAGGACCCATTGGAAAGACTCGGCCTGGGATAAATTATCTTTTAGTCTACTTTCACAGACGCAAGAACACTTTGAAGAGGTGTGTTCTATGCTTCTTCGCGACATTAAAGGTTCGGACGAGCAAGGCCTGCGTTTGGATGGTGGTCGACAACTTATTGCCGCCGCTTGTGTCAAGGACTTTTTTCGGCAAGTTCGTAACCTTGACCTTTGTTGCTTTGTTGACAATGACAGTTCTGTAGAATCGTATCTTGGGGTAGAACCAGGCGGGAAGAGTGGAAGGGTCGTGGGTGCTGGGTTATCTGATGATATCTCACTGCCTTGTTGTGACTATATATTCATTGGCATACGCAATTGAAACTATAATCTAACCTCCCTCTAAGTGTTTGTTGCCCCTGAACAACTCTTTCATATTGCGCTGTCTTAGTATACGGTACACTCATGAGGGTAATCAGATAAGAGGCTTCAGGAGGTATGGTACGACTCCCGGAAGTGATGCAAATATAGTAGAGTGACGGGCTCCGAGGTCAGGACTTGGGGTAATCTTGGCAGGGTCACGCAGCGTCGACACTCTCTGGTACTAGGTTACTGGACTCTTTTGCCCCCGGGCTCGAGAACGATACCGGTCTATCTACATGATTAACCGGCCCTCCCCCGGGACTTAGGCTGCGGGGAAGGAGAGGGAAGAAAAACGTGCTTACAAGCCTTCCAATTCTGACCTCATTACTTACTCGTCAAACGAAAGAGCCGAGCCCCTGAGCAAACTCTTGTCTCCCTTTTAGCGTATTTACCTTATTCCTACTTGTCTTAATTAGTGAATTTTTTTTATCCTCACCTTAGGCTTGACGTAACACCAAATCGATTCGATTCCGCCAACCAGCAATCATGGCGACAGCCCCTCCTCCTTCCCAACCACGCCTCCAGAGCAAAGTCGCCCTCGTCACGGGCGGCGCGTCCGGGTTCGGGAAGGGGATTGCGGAGAAGTTCGTGCGCGAGGGCGCGCGGGTGCTGATCGCCGACGTAGCGGTCGAGGCAGGGGAGGCGGTGGCGCGGGATCTTAACAACATTCACTATAACAACAACACTAACAATGACTGCTGCGCCTTCTCCGTCGCAGACGTGACGAAGAGAGAGGACTGGGAAAAACTGCTCCGAGAGGCGAGGACGAAGTTCGGAAAACTCGACATCGTGGTGAATAACGCGGGCGCGGCGTACGTGAACAAGCCCACCGAAGACGTCACGGACGAGGACTTCGATAGGGTGTTCGATGTCAATGTCAAGAGCGTCTATCTCTCGAGTAATGTGCTCGTGAGGTATTTCCTGGAGGAAGGGGTCAAGGGATGTTTTATACAGATTGCTTCGACTGCTGGAGGTGAGTTGATTTTTTTTTTTTTTTTTTTTTTTTTTTTGGAATCGATTATATGGTATTCAGCTTGATTGGCTTTGAGAGAGGAGTGATTGTGTAAGAGTCAAGGAGCTGAAGATAGCTGCTGGACATTGGCTTATCTACTTGCATATAGTGCGCCCTCGTCCGAGACTCACGTGGTATAACGCCTCCAAAGCAGCCGTCATAAACGCTACCAAGGTGAGAGACTTCTTACCTACTAATAATACTATTGATACGCCTAAGTCACCCGACTAACCTGACACTTCAACCCCCCTTTCATACAGGCCATGGCGGTAGAGTACGGACCGCAGCAGATCCGGTTCAACGCCGTGTCGCCCGTCATCGGCAGCACGGGCATGACGCACCTCTTCATCGGCAAGCCCAACACGGCCGAGAACCGCAAGGCGTTCGAGGCCGCTGTGCCGCTGGGCAGGGGCTCCACGCCCGCCGATGTCGCCAACGCGTGCTGTTACCTCGCCAGCGACGAGGCGGCCTTCATCACGGGTGTTAATCTCGAGGTGGATGGGGGGAGGTGTGTGTAAGAGTGTGAGTGGGGTTTCTTCCCGAAGGTGTTCGTATTAGAGATACTTTCGAGTCTCAGTTGTTCTCAAACGAGTAGCCATGTGTTGTGGTGCTTTTAACCCAGCTGTGTGTTTCAGCGGCACCTCACTTTGAAGTATGAGGTTCCTCTCCGGCTCTTGATTTGGTTCGTTAAATGACTGTCAGCGTCGACTGCTCCGCAGGCAAGGAGCTTGATGTTTTCCCAATGTTCTCTCAGAAGATGCACTTCCCTTCTCTTCACCTAGAATCCGAAATGCCTAATTGATGACAACCCGGTGTTGGCATTTAACCACACCATAGTAGCTTCCGAGCGGATGACGCAGTAGGTACCTTCTTTAAAGTTGGTTAACCTACTTCTGTCCTTGGACGTTCTTCCCTGAACACAGAACAGAGTTGGGCTGCGTTCCTGCCGCAGGAGAAGGTACATGGCGTCTTCTCGCCTGTGGACTTGCGTCATCAGTACTTGCATGTTTCTTTTACCAGTTGTGCATCACCCACAATTAAAATGGAAGTGCCAGGCAACTCGCATGCTCCTGCCCAGAAGAAGAGAAGAGTATAGAGAATGATTTTCAGGAACAGTTGGATAGTTGACAGAAAAAATCCATCACCAGTGTATCCGGGACATGAGCAAGGTTACGGGGCCAGGAAACCAATCAAATGCCCTGGTAGCTCAATTGGTTAGAGCGTCGGACTTTTATCGGTGTTTAAGTACAATTGGTAATTTGAGACATCCGAAGGCTGCGGGTTCGACCCCCGCCTGGGGCGCATTTGGTCTTTTTTGTCATTTCCTTTTTCTTTTTTTAGAAATGTTTTCTTGTTTTAAATCACTGCACTGTTGTTTGTATTCCAGCCCCGTGTGTTGGGATTGCGCGCTCAGTTGTCTTGACTTTTTATTTTGCTGGTGTTCTTTCCTGATAGGTAGAGTACTGCACTGTGCAAGAGTATGCATGCATGCAACTGCCCATGGGCCACTCACCGACGTAACCTTATGTTTGTTGGTAGGTACCACCACAACCTGAGACAAACATTGCCATGATATACTATTACAACACACCAGTCTCTCAGCGAAGTAGCTGAGACCCAAAGGAACAAAGTTCCAACACAACTAAGGTGCATAAGCAGTGCAATGATGCTGTGGTATGTTACCTCCTTCGCTTTTTACTTTTTTCAATTCCTAGATCCCGGGAAAGTCTTCTGTTCAAGTCCTGGCCCGGCTGAATCTTTTAATATTTTTACCTTCGATTACCTTGTCTATGTACTATATAAGCAATGTTGTTTTTGTTTGTTTGCCGCGTTTTGGCAGTCTGTTGCGTGTTTACCACAAGTCTTCCCGGTCTGCGTCTGTACATGCGTACTGTATTGTATGCCCTTGGAATAACTTACCCTATACATAATTACCAAACGCGCGCGAGAGAGAAAAAGTTCGAGATGACATTTACGCGTTTCTAACCCTAGGCTACAGCTTTCACTTTATATTTACTTTGCTCCTTGTCGCTGGATCTCGGTACTACCTACTCCCAACTACCAGCAGTCCTAATAATGCTCTACCTTTATATATCTCCAGTTACCTAATGTCAGTAGGTACAGATTGCTTGCTGTAGCTAGATCAAGGCAAAGAAAGAGTACCTCCAACTCGAATCTGCTATGCTCTCCACTACTAACAGTTTACCATATGGGCTCGGAAGAGTAGTATACTAAGAGACCCTCCTTGCATCGAGCGAGACACGCAGAGCATCACATAAAAGCGCGCTTCTTAAGTGTGTATGTGCGTTCGGTTACTTACATCTAGCCCGTTTCTTTCTATATGAACATGTCCATAAGGGGTAGGTTGGTATGATCTCCCACATAACAGGTCACTTTTCCACAACCCACATCTCCGCAAAGCACCCACCCGTTGAATGGGTAGTATATAGATTGTCTTGTATTGATTGGCATGATATGATTGATATATGTAAGTGAGCTGGATGCCAGCCTACCCAAATCATCCCCCATATATCCCAATCCTCCCGCCCCCCATTCAACAAACACTCCCCTCTCCGGTATATATATAAGATCCTCAACTCTTAATTAAACCCTTCCTTCTCCTTCAGCCCCTTTCAGAGTAAAGATGATCAGTCAAGTCAAGTCAAATTCAAGACAAAGACTTGCTAGCCCAGCCGATGCGGGGGCCGCTGGCGTCGAAGACGACGTAGGCGCTCTTGAGCGCGACGTCGCCGAAGATGTTGATGCCGATGCCCGAGCTGGACTGGATGCCGCCGAAGCAGGTCGTGCTCGTGTAGGGCGCGTAGTTGATGTACCGGGCCGGGATGGTGATGCGGGCCGAGCCGATGCCGAAGGTGAAGGTGGGCAGCGAGGCGCTGCAAGGGAACGTCCAGCCGCCGGCCGAGGCGTCGTTGCGGGCGCCGGACACCTGGGCGTAGTACGCGCTGACGACGCTGCTGGGAAGGTAGAGCAGGGTTGTGCCCGTGTCGGCGATGCCGTCGATGGTCGTGCTCCGGAACGAGCCGCTGCCGATCGCGTAGCCCGACAGGTTGTGCTCCCAGAAGCCCTGGCTCGTGCTGACCGAGGTGTAGGTCAGGGTGCCGGTGTACTTGGTCGAGTCGACGAAGCCGAAGTCGTAGGTGCCCGCTGCCGAGGGAAAAAAGTGTCAGTTCCCAAGGGTTTGGCATGGTTGATGATGAATGGACGAAGAAATAGGGGGAAAGAGGCAGAAAGGGGGAAGGAAAACTTACGGACGCCAGCCTTGAAGTCGACGGCAAAGACGGGCTTGTCGAGGCTGCTCTTGATGTTGTCGAACCAGGTCTTCTGCTGGGTCGGGGTAACGGTGTTCAGCGAGCTGAAGGCCAGGCCGAGGAGGCCGTCAAGGTTACCCTCGGAGGTGAAGGAGCTCGAGACGGTCTGGGCCGACTCGACGGCCTGCCTGGCGACGGAGAGGCCGCCGATCTTGACCACGTCGGTGTAGACGATACCGCTCGACGAGCTGCCGTCGCCGTAGCTGATGGCCCACCTGGCGTTGCTGAGGCGCGAGGCAGTGCTGCTCTTGCCGGGCGCGTACAGCGTCTGGCCGTTGACGTAGCGGGAGCTGGTGTCGGTGCTGAAGACCCACAGGTCCGACGAGCCCGAGTCGAAGTCAAGGTTCAGGGTCTGGGCGGGGGTGCCGATCTGGACCGGGGTCAACCACTCCGAGTCGTACTCCTCGGGGTTGGTGACGACGGAGCCGGTGCTGCGCTTTCCGTCTGGCGTCATGCCCAGGGCGGCGGCCAGCTCGGCGGGCACGGACTTGCCGTACTTCAGGTACGTCTTGGCGACCTGAGCGGGACCATGGCGGCGGAAGTGCGCGTTGCGGGTCTGGTTGACAGTGAAGCGGCCGGCCTGGGGCACGGCGCCAGGGGCGGGCAGGGCCGAGACGGCACCGAGGAGAGCGCTGAAGAGCGCGAGAGTGGAAGCGACCATGTTGACTGGTTTCGACTCAGGAGAAGGGGGTAAGGATGAGCGAAGGAGTAGTTGGTTGCGTGACGAGGAGAAGAAGCCATTATCAACAGCGGGCGGGATCGACAGCTTTATACACGAAAACATCGTCCCATCACTCTTCTCGCTACGATGGACCATCCATCATGCAAAGTAACGCTCGTTTGGCCTTCCCGGCGCCTGCCCGCCCTTCCAATGCGACCTCGTCTCGATCAGGCAGGAGATCGACGTGTTCGCCCCTTCATCTCAAAAACGAGGGTGCGCCGTCGCTGGTTGAATGATAGGGCTTTCTTGCGGTTCGACGAAGGAGATCATGCGACGTAACCGCGTAATGCCAAGAGAGGCAGGTCGTCACGACATGAAGCATTCGGTATCTCAACCTAACGGAAACGAACCGGGCCTTGTTTTCCCCCGTCCCTTCTTTCTCTTTCTCTTTCTTCCACCCTTCTACAACATAGGCAGGTTGATTAAGACGGAGGGATGGATACTCACGGGGGGCGAGATCGGTACCAACCTTGCTTACGGTCATGCTGTAACCCTCTAGCTCTGCCCTGCCATACGTGGGGCTGGGTCCTTTTCTCACAGCTGCCCCGGTATTGGAATTGGGGGGGAAGGGGGGAGACGTCTGACGAATGAGAGGAGAGGTTCCTGAGTTTATTCCAAGCTTTCCCTCGCCGTCAGTCAAATCGCACGCAATCGGCCATGGCACAATCGGGATATTCTCTCAAATTGTCGTCCCTCCCCGGGCGCTTGCGTCGCATCGTCCTTCTACACTCGGCAAGGCCCCGTCCCACCTTCATGCTCGTGCTCACAAGACGCGACCTGTTAGCAATAAGATGTCATCAAAGGGAAAGGTAACAACCGGAATGCGGAGGGCAGGGGTAGGAGCCGTTAAGCACACAAACAGGAGTGAGCTTGAGCTGTGAGTGGTCCATGGAGCGGATCATGGCCGACAGCGAGATGACAGATAACAGTGGGGAAGGTTATAACAGCTTCTTAATCGACGTTTTATATCGCTCTTGTATCTATGTAGCTAGGTTAGTAGGTTAGGCTGTACTCTGTAGGAAAGTTGCTCCTGCATGCAGGTGAACGCATTACTCAGCAGGCAACGCTGCAACACGGCAAGTCCCTCATCTGAGATCTGATCTCACGTCCAGTGCCAGGCGAGTGGCTTACGGACCTCGGTAGGGCCGAATTGATAATGGATGAAATCTAGACATCCAGCCAAGACGGACTGGCATATCGGCACTTGCCCTCGCCAAGATGAAGATGCGAAATAAGCTTTCCCACCACAGCGGCTTGCTCGTCTCCTTGCCTCCCACGCCCCGGTCGGCCGCAACCCAAGGCGCACCACAAGCATTGGCCAGCATTGGCCCTGAGGCTCTTCAGCTCTTGTGGATATCATTGTCGGTGGCTTGCCTGTAAGTACCCGTGATGAGAATATCACCTTCTCTTTGAGTACTGGTCATGCAATGCAACACAGGCTACAGCAGCATAGATAGTCCAGTGTGGTGGAGATAAGCTCGCCGAGGTCCAATTTGGCGCCTTCCCGATTACGGTGGGAACTGGACAAGGGTTCCAGGAAGCGCCGGCGCTCGCCGTTGGGCATCGCGATACGTGCATACTGCAGGTGTTGCACAAGGGATTTATTTACCTGCCTAAGTTAGAATGGTGGTCATCGCAAACACCCACAAGCCGATTGTGTCTCAATGGCTTATGCGTAGATGTTCCGCCACGTAAGTTGTCACCAAGTAACCTAGGTAGGTAATCAGTTGAATTTCATACCAAATACCACCGTATCGAGGGCGCGCATTATCATGTGACTATGATTTGAATAGAGATTTGAATAGAGGAGGCACTCTTTGTCAAAGTTTGCACAAGTTTGTACCTTTCCGCGAGAGTCAACCGTCCTGCTCTTGGTCAGTTGTGGCAGCATATCATGCACCCGTCTTCATCAGACCACCATTCCAGTCTTCGAGCCGGTCAACCTATACTTCCCTAGACAGACACGACGGTCGTCAGCATAGCGTACGAGCATACCAACGACCGGCCTGTTCTTCGCCTTGTTGTCGACACAGCAAGTGGCTTGGCAGATAGTGTCCAACCTGCAGTGGGTTAAGCTAACAATTTTCCAAGAGATATGGCCCAAGTTATGGCCTGGCCAACGACGCAAGCGAAGGGGGGATAACTATCTCCCACCGTGACTGGCTCCGCTATAGGAGCGCCAGCCTTACTCCCATGAGCGGGTTATCATGACTAAAGTAGCGAAAAATTCCATTCCTTGAAGAAGACTCGTG